GGGGGAGGGGTTTGGGAAGGAGGAGGGCAGGACGGGGGAGTAGAGGGAGTGGAAGCAGCAGCAACAGCAGCAGCAGAAGGGCAGGGGGCAGCTGGGGCGGCAGGGGCAGCAGGGGCAGCAGGCACGGGAGGGGCAGCAGGGACAGCAGGGGCAGTAGCAGCAGTGCGCACGTCGTTAATCACAATCACATCGCTGTCAGCCAGCGCTGGTCCTGGCGTGAGGTGAGCCGTGAGGAGGGTTGGAGTGTGGGAAATGAGCTGGGAGGGTTGGATTGTGGGAGATGAGCTGGTAGGGAAGTTTTGGGGCACCTCAACAATCACATCGATGTCCGCCATGCCCTCTCCCCCATGCCTTCCGCCTTCATCTCCCCCATACCTTTCCCTCTCCCTCCCCCCACTCCAGCAACTCCTACCGAGTGGCCCATGAGCATCGCAGTCTGCGGGTGCTAGCAGCCATCCGCCATGCCCTCTCCCCCTCCCGCCGACTCGCCCTCTACAAGCTCGCCCGCCACATTCCCCCCCACCCTGCCCCACCCACCGCCACCGCCCCCTCTTCCACCACCATTCCCTCTTCGCCCGCCGCTCCCCCTGCGTCCTGCCCTCCCTCGCGCCCCTCGCCCGCACGCCCTTCGCCTGCCCTCCCCTTGCCCATCTTCCTGTTCCCGTTTGACGAGCGCTGGGAGATGGCGCGCTGTGCGCGCCTGCTGGCGTGGCGGGCGCCCTTTGAGGTGCACCTGGGGGACCTGCACGTGGGCTGCGCGCATGGGGAGGTGAGGGGGGTTGGGGGAGGTGAGGCAGCGAGGTTGGGGGGGGCATGCTGAGGTGAAAGGTTTGAAGGAAGGTTAGAGCCACGATATGAGGCGCCCTTTGAGGTGGACCTGGGGGACCTGCACGTGGGCTGCGCGCATGGGGAGGTGAGGGGGGAATGGTGAGTTGAGGGGCGGATGCGGAAGGTGAGGAGAGGATGGGGAAGGTGAGGAGCGGATGGGGAAGGTGAGGAGCGGATGGGGAAGGTGAGGAGCGGATGGGGAAGGTGAGGAGCGGATGGGGAAGGTGAGGAGCGGATGGGGAAGGTGAGGAGCGGATGGGGAAGGTGAGGAGCGGATGGGGAAGGTGAGGATGAGAGGTTGCTTTTGAAGCGCCCTTTGGGTTCCTCCTGGGGGAGCTGCAAGTGGGCTGTGCGCATGGCGAGGTGAGAGCAGGGCCGGATGGGTATAACGGCTACTAAAGCTCGTCACTTGTCAGTTGTGGGCTCGGTAGCATTCAGTCAACCACAGGTTGCTGCTGAATCATACAAGAGGCGAGCAAGCTGTGCGTGGTGATTTGCTGTGCGCACCTGTTGGCGTGGCGGGGCCGTTGCTGCAGCTGGGGGAGCTGCACGTGGGCCGAGTGCGAGGTGAGGGGGGGGTGGGAGGTGAGGGGAGTGCATTAGGAGGTGTGGGGGCGGGGAGGCAAGCTTTGATGGCAAGCTCATCAGCTGTCATCAGATTCTATCCTCCAATGCCCCACTGCTTCCTTGGCACAGAACCCTTAATGCCCACGCTCCTCCCACTTACCCCCTCCAACCCCCTCCAGTAACCTCTCCCCCGCCACCTCCTGTCGCCTCCTCCCTGCAGCCGTCCCTCAACCCGAGCTACATGCCTCTCCACCCCCAATGCCTCATTCCCCTCCTCCCTTCCCTCTCCACCCTCCTTCTCCCCCTCCCCCTCCCTCGCGGCGCCATTCCCTGCAGCTGTTCCCAGTGGCACACTCATCACCCCATTTCCCTCCTCCCTTTTTTTCTCTCCCCCTCTCTTCCTCCTCGCACTGTTCCCCCCTACAGCTGTCCCAACACGCTCATCACCCTCAACGCCTCCATCGTCGGCCTCTGCGCCTCCCCCAACACACTCTTTGCCCCATTCCCCTGCCCCCTCCTGCCCCCCCTCCCTTGCCCACCTCATTCTCCCCCCTCCCCCCCCCCCCCCCCCACCTCCTACAGCTGTCTCCGGCCAACACACTCATCGCCCTCAACGCCGCCATCGTCGGCCTCTGCTCCTCTTCCCCTCCCCCTCTCCCCTCCCTGCCGCCTCCGCCCTCCCTGCCCGTTGACCCCTCCACCTCTGCTCATGCTGCTGCAACTGCTGCTGCTGCTGCTGCTGCTCCAACTGCAGAGACACCACCAGCGGCACCACCGGAAGCAGCAGCATTTACTGATTCAGCAGCAGCAGCACCAGAAATCAACATGGCAGAAGCAGCCGCAGCAGCAGAAAGCGACTCAGCAGCAGCGCCACCGGCAGCGCCAGGCTTCCCGCGTGTGGTGTGGAACCCCCAGGAAGCTGCGCTCCTGCCCTGCCTCTCCTTTGGTACTGCCCCGTCTGCACCCACACACTCCCCACGCCCCTGTATATCATTCCATCACATACACTCGCTCCCCCTTCCTGCATTTGACTCTCACCCACCTGGCTAGATGCCCCTGCTCCATGCATTCTCACTGCTCCCATCGTGCATGCCTATACCCACCAACAGGTGTGGTGAGGGGGGTCGACGCCAGCAGGGGAGTGGCACACGTGGTGGCGCCGCTACCTCTGGCCCGCATGCATCACGTTGACACGCTTCTCATCTCGCACCTCCACCTGCCCTCGCCGCTGCTCCTGGTGAGAGCATTATTGCACCTATCGTCGTGCGCTTTTTTCTCACATGCGGAACTACTTTGCACATCCACAAGCGTTTCTCCTCAGTCTCAAGAACTCTCAAATGTGACTGTAATGCACCATGTCGACATGCTCTTTTTCTGCTTGTATCACTTTCGATAAATCTCAGAAGTTATAGAAGTGTGCTCCTCCTTTTGCACACGTCCTTCCTCCACCTGACTCATGCATGTCCCTCACCATCACATTGCACCTCAATTTCTCTCCCACTATTCTCCCACCTTTGTTCTCAATTCCTCTCCTTTCTCATCTCTCCCATCTCACCTCGCCTCTTCATCTTTTCCAGCGCTCTCTCTTGCTCTCCCTTGCCTTTGTCTCCCTCTTTCTCCCCAACCACCCTGTGAATGGCTTGGTCTCACCGTACATTTGCTTCCACTTTCTTGCCGATGCCCCTCCCAACTTGCTATGCTCCCGTATACCCCACCCACTACTTCCCCCAATTTTCCCCGCCCCTCTCCCTTCCCCTCGCCCCCAACACCCAGTGCAACGACCTGGTGTCGCCGTACCTCTGCTTCCACTCACTCGCGGACGCCACTCTAGGCGCCAAGGAGCTGCCCATTAGGGAGGTCAAGCGGTGAGGTGACGAGCAGTGAAGAGCGGTGAAGAAAGGTGAAGGATTGTGATTCATGAAGCAGCAAGTGGCATCGAAATGTGGTGTGGCACTGATGATTGTGGAGAGACTAATATATGGGAGGTGGTGAATGGATAATGTGATATTGGCACTATGCTAGAGCCTCAGATTCATTTTGACTAGGCTGAATTGTCAGCCTTAGGAGTGAGCTGAAGGCTGATCAATCAGGGTAGCCTTAAAAGAAAAAAAAAAAAAAAAAAAACAAGAGGCGACGAACTCGTCTTAGGGTTGCGAAGCAATCTTAGCTTCATTTTTTGTTAATCATTGATGGGAAATCCTAATGAACATAACAATGTGGTCTTTTTACACTAAAAACATAACACTATAAAAGGAATACAGATTCCAGTCTTAGCAACGAACAAATGATCTTCCCGAGTATCGAACTCGGGTCCTTTCGAACCCTGGCCGAGATATTGTGCTACCGACCCCGCAAGTTAATAACGTCGTGCTTTGTTATTTAACAAGAAAACAAAAAAAATGTGCCTAGGGTTTCCTGATTATTTGTCGCTGCTTTCTCTTCCAACGCTACTCCAGGCACTAGTGTCAAACATTATACATGTTGTATTTGTGTAGGCTGTAGTGGGTTAGCCTATAGGGGGGTCACAACATTAGGGTTTCATATTTGTACTCACAATCCTTGCTAGTCCATCATTCCAGTCCGTTATTTATGACATGGTTTCAGAGCAGGTCCTTCGCTAGGACCGTTCTTAGGGCCCACCGTTACCTACATACCTACCTACCTACCGTGCGCCTCGTGCGCCTCCTACCTACCGCGCGCGCGCAGCCCGCCAGCCGCCCGCGCGCGACTCGACTTTTTTTAAGTGCGCGTATCCCGCTAGCCGCCCGCGCGCGGTCGATTTCGCTGCGCGCGCCCCGCTAGCCGCACGCGCGCGGCTGTTTTTCTTTACGCGCGGCCCCGCACGCTGCCCGCGCGCTGCCTGTGCGCCTCGCTGACGCGCCCGCTGCTGCAGCCGCCCGTCGCCCGCTCGCGCACACCCCGCCGTGGCCCCGCAGGCCCGCAGCTCGCCGCCGCAGCTGCCGCACGCCCGTTGCCCGCAGCCGCCCGTCCGCCGACGCCGCTGCCGCCCGTGCACCGACGCCGCTGCCACCCGTGCGCTGCTGCCGCTGCTGCTTGCGCACCGCTCGCTGCTGCAGCCGCCCGTGCGCTGTCGGCGCTGCTGCCCGTGCGTATAAGCCCGTCGCCTACTCGCGCACGCCCCGCTGCCCGCAGCCGCTCGTACGCCGCTGCTTCCGCTGCTGCTTGCGCACTGCTGCCTCCCGAGCGCCGCCGCTGCCTGTGCGCCGCCGCTGCCCGTGCGCCGTCGCTGCTCCTACGCTGCCGCTGCCCGTGCGCTGCCGCTGCCCGTGCACCGCCGTTCCCCGTGCGCCACTGCCGCCCGTGCGCTTCTGCAGCCGCCGCCCGCGAGGCACTCGCTCTCACTGTTGTTTATTTTCTACCTACCGTGCACACTGCTGCCACTGCAGCTGCCACCAGTGCACCGTTGCAGCTCCTGCTGCCACGCTACCTACTACTGCCGCTCGTGTGCCACTACGGACAGTCGACCCCGCCCGCGCCTTGCCTAGCGGCCCCGCCGGCCCCGTTGACCCTCCGCACACCTTTCCAGCGGCCTGCTTCCTACTACTACTGTTACTACTGCTACTACTGCTACTGCTACTGTCGCTATGGCTAGTCCGCCAGTTCTAGCTTTCGATGCCGAGGGCCGTCCAGTGAAGTTCGAAACCTGGCTAGATGACCTGCACCTGTTCCTACAGCTCACTGCCAAGGAAGATATCTCACTGTACGACCACGCCCTAGGCCATGCCACTGCCCCTGACTCGTCTGCTGACAGCACTCTGCGTTCTCAGTGGCAGACCCGTGATGCGCACGCTCGCTTTGCTATTCGCAACTCCCTGCCACTAGACGAGCGCGAGCACTTCGGCCAGTGCAAGACTGCTAAGGACCTCTACACCGCTGTAGTTGCCCGCTACTCCTCACCCGCTTCTGCCACGCTAGGCCGCCTCACTCTCCCCTACCTGTTCCCTGACCTAGCCTCCTTTCACACTGTCGCAGACCTCATCACCCACCTTAAGACTAGTGAGGCCCGCTTTCGCGCTGCTATGCCTGCCGAGTTTCTCACTAGCAACCCCCCCCCGCTCTGGATCACTCTCTACCACATCGTCACCCGCCTCCCTGACTCTCTGCGCGCAGTCAGGGACCACTTCCTCTCTCGCTCCCCCACTGAGCTCACTGTTGCCCTCCTCGAGAAGGAACTGCTTGCAGCTGAGGCGAGCATCGTCGCTGTAGGCACCTCTCGTGGCGACCCCCGCACCCCGTTCTTTGAGGGGTGTTCCCCTTCCCCCCTCCTCCCCTCTGTCGCCTCTGCTGCTGCTGTCGACCTTCTTGGTGCTGAGAAGGTCGGGACCGCGTCTGCTTCGAGCGGGCGCCGCAGGAACAAGGGGGGCAGGGGTGGGGGTGGCGGCGGAGGAGGTGGGGGTGGAGGCGGTGGGAGTGGAGGCGCGGCTGGGGAGACTAGTGGCGGCAGTGGGGGAGGAGACAGCGGCGGTGGGAGTGGTGGTGGAGGCGGCAGCGGAGGCGGAGGTGGTCGTGGCGGCGGCAGGGGTGGAGGTGGCCGGGGCGGCGGCGGTGGGGGTGGTGGTCGTGGAGGCACTGGCGGAGGCCAGAGTCAGCAGCCCGCCCCGACGCTTCAGGCCGCCCGTGAGTGGTATGCGCAGCGTAGCGTTACCTGCACGTACGTCATTCGCACAGGTGACCGCACCGGCCAGCAGTGTGGGAGGCCGCACCCCACGCAGCGCTGCTTCGCGCGCCTTAACGACGCGTGGCGCACTCAGTTTCCTGCTGCCACTGAGCTGCCGCGCTGGGCTGATCTGGAAAAGAGGGGTGTTGATATTTGGGCTTTAGACTTTGATGCTATTCTCACTGCCATGTATGCGATGTCTATTAGTGGAGAGGGTGCTCAGTACTTGCGTGTTCCGCCCGACCCGGGCATTCAGGCCAGTCCGGCTGCCGCTCTAGGTGCTAGTGCGTCTGCTCCCACAGGTCCTGGTGAGGCTGCAGCCCTAGGTGCTCGTGCGTCCGTGCCCCCTGGTACTGAGTCGACTGCAGCACTGCACACCTTCACACTGGACTCAGGTGCTTCTCGCTCCTTCTTTCGTGACCGCACTGTCCTTGAGCCACTCGCTCGGCCAGTTGCTGTCTCCCTTGCTGACCCCTCTGGGGGTCCGGTCATTGCGACCTCCTCCACTGTCCTTCCTTGTCCGGCGGTCCCGTCCGGCACGCTGTCAGGTCTCTACCTCCCCTCGTTCTCTACGAACTTGGTGGCAGGTAGTGCGCTCCAGGACGGGGGTGTTCACCAGTTCACCCCTGCCTACGAGCGCATGACACACTGCACGTGTGCTCGGACGGGTCGCCACCTGGCTACCTTCACTCGGGAGCCGGGGTCGGACCTTTACACACTGACCACTGAGTCCCCTCAGGTAGCTGCGTCCGCGTCTGCGTCTGCGTCAGGTCAGCTGTCCGCCCCCTGCTCGTGTCGCTCTCTGGCGCATGAGACTGTCCTTTGGCACCACCGCCTTGGTCACCCGTCTGTGCAGCGCCTTCGGGCCATGCACAAACGGGACCTTGTTGCTGGTCTTCCCAGGGTGCTCCCTCCCCTTCCCGACTCGCCTGCTCCTCCCTGTATTCCCTGTGTCGAGGGACGGCAGCGCGCCGTTCCTCACTCCTCCTCCTTTCCCCCGACGACTGCTCCCTTGCAGACGCTCCACATGGACGTGTGGGGCCCAGCCCGCGTCCGTGGTCAGGGTCAGGAGAGGTACTTCCTGATTGTTGTTGACGACTTCTCGCGCTACACCACGGTCTTCCCCTTGCGCGCCAAGGGTGACGTCCCTGATGTCTTGATCCCTTGGATCCGCAGATCTCGTCTCCAGCTCCGTGAGCGTTTCCGCTCCGACTTCCCTGTCCTGCGTCTGCACTCTGACAGAGGTGGAGAGTTTTCCTCTGGCCTATTGGAGGCCTTCTGTCAGCAGGAGGGCATTGAGCAGTCGTACACGCTTCCGGCCTCTCCACAGCAGAATGGGGTTGCTGAGCGCCGCATTGGTCTGGTCATGGAGGTCGCTCGTACCTCCTTGAGCCATGCGGCTGCCCCCCATTTTCTGTGGCCGTTTGCAGTCCGATACGCTGCGCATCAGCTCAACCTCCGGCCCCGTGTCTCCTTGCCCGAGACTTCTCCGACACTGCGTTGGACGGGAGAGGCTGGCGATGCGTCGCGTTTTCGGGTCTGGGGATCCCGAGCTTTTGTCCGCGACACGTCCGCGGACAAGCTCTCCCGTCGTGCTGTCCCCTGCGTCTTCCTTGGCTTTGTCCCGGACGCCCCTGGCTGGCAGTTCTACCACCCCACCTCGCATCGTGTCCTGGCCTCTCAGGACGTCACTTTTGATGAGTCCGTCCCCTACTACCGCCTCTTCCCCTACCGCACTGCCCCGCTCCCCCCCCCGCCTCTCTTCCTCGCTCCAGGTGCTGAGGTACCAGACCCCCTCCCCCCTCAGGGTGCCGCTCCCTCAGGTGTGTCCCAGGTAGACCCGGGTGAGCCTGTCGAGGTAGCTGTTGACTCTCGTCCTGCTAGGGGTGCTGAGCCTGGAGGTGCTGAGTCTGGGGGTGCTGAGCCTGGGGGTGCTGCGTCTGGGGGTGCTGAGCCTGGGAGTGCTGAGTCTGGGGGTGCGGAGCCTGGGGGTGCTGAGCCAGGAGGTGCGGAGCCTGGAGGTGCGGAGCCTGGAGGTGCTGAGTCTGGGGGTGCTGAGTCTGGGGGTGCTGAGCCTGAGCGTGCTACACCTGGAGGAGCCCTCTCCTCCCAGCAGCTGCAGGAGAGGTACCTCGAGTACTGCCGCCTCCGGAGAGGTACTGCTGGAGCTCGTCCCGGTACTTCCCCTCCTACCCAGGAGCTCCCCCCCATTCAGCAGATCCGCGAGTGGTACACACGGCGCTGCAGTCTTCGGAGTGGTGCTCCTGGTGCTGCGGACCCTGGGGGTGGCGCTGCTGCTGGTGCTGAGGACCCGGACGGTGGAGCTGCTGCTGGTGCTGAGGACTCGGACGGTGGAGCTGCTGCTGGAGCTGAGGACCCGAGCGGTGGCACTGCTGCTGCTGCTGAGGACCCGGGCGTTGGAGCTACTACTGGTGCTGAGGACCCGGCCGGTGGAGCTGCTGCTGGTGCTGTGGACCCGGACGCTGGAGCTCCTACTGGTACTGAGGACCCGGCCGCTGGAGTCTCCTCTGCTTCCGGAGACGCTGCGCGGCCGCGACCGTACTTCGTACCGCTCCTTCAGCAGGTTCTTGGGCAGGCTCCTCCTCCTTGTCCTCCTCCCTCCGTAGAGTGTCCTCCGCCTGTCCGGCCGCAGTCACAGTTACCACCTACCTCGCCTCTCCCTGCTCCCTCTCCTTACACTGGTCCCACAGGAGGTCTTACAGAGCGTCGTGAGCCTGAGTCTCGTCCTGCGTCGCCTGTTCGTGCTGCTCGCACTGGTAGTCGTGTCCGTCGTGAGCGTCCTCCTCCTGTCCCAGGCACTCACTACATGACTCTGCGTCCCTCTACTGCTCCTCAGCGTGTCCCTCTACCGTCTCCTCCTGCGTCCTCTTTGCCTGACGTTCCGGACCCTGAGTCTGACCGGTATCGTGCTGAGCACCCTACTGTCACGCGTCTCCTTGCTACTGTTGTCACTGACCCTACCTTTGAGTCCTCGGCTGCGTCTGCTCTGGTCGCTGAGTTGGTTGACTTTGCTGCTGCCTGTCGTCTAGACTACGCTGCTAGCCTTGTTGCTGAGTCTGAGTCTGTCTGTCCTCCGTCCGTCGGGGGTGAGTGTGCTCTTGGCACGGACGTCCTTGAGGACAGACAGGAGGAGTTCCAGTGTCTTGCTGCTGCTTTGCCCCGTCTCGTGTCCTTGCTAGTTGCCCCTGAGGGAGACCCGGATGCACCAGACATCCCGACCCCGCGCACTTACGCTGAGGCGATGGCGGGTCCCTACTCCTCTCAGTGGCAGACAGCCATGGACGCCGAGATGGCTTCCTGGAAGTCCACACGCACCTACGTAGACGAGGTTCCCCCTCTTGGGGCGAACATCGTCAGTGGCATGTGGATTTTCAGGGTGAAGCGGCCGCCGGGTTCTCCGCCTGTCTTCAAGGCGCGTTACGTGGCTCGAGGCTTCAGTCAGCGAGAGGGAGTTGACTTCTTCCAGACCTTCTCCCCCACCCCGAAGATGACTACTCTTCGGGTGCTGCTGCACATAGCCGCTCACCGCGACTACGAGCTTCACTCACTTGACTTCAGCACTGCTTTCTTGCAGGGCAGCCTGCACGAGGAGATCTGGCTGCGCCGCCCACCTGGCTTCACTGGGTCGTTTCCTCCTGGTACCCAGTGGAGGCTTCAGCGGCCGGTCTACGGTCTCCGCCAGGCTCCGCGTGAGTGGCACGACACACTGAGGACTACACTTGCGGCTCTTGGGTTCGCGCCTTCTACAGCTGACCCGTCGCTGTTCCTGCGCACCGACACTTCGCTGCCGCCGTTCTACATCCTCGTGTACGTCGACGACTTGGTCTTTGCCACTGCTGACACTGCAGGACTCGCCTACGTGAAGTCGGAGCTGCAGAGGAGACACACGTGCACAGACCTGGGTGAGCTGACAAGCTATCTTGGCTTGCGGATCACCCGGGACAGAGCACGGTGCACCATCACCCTGACTCAGTCACACATGGTGCAGCAGGTTCTCCAGCGCTTCCGCTTCACGTACTCCTCGCCTCAGTCCACTCCTCTGCCTACCGGTCACTCGCTCTCAGCTCTGCCTTCGGATGAGTCCGTAGAGCCGAGTGGCCCGTATCCAGAGCTTGTGGGCTGCCTCATGTACCTGATGACCTGCACTCGACCTGACCTTGCATACCCTCTTAGCATCCTTGCACGCTATGTCGCTCCTGGCCGTCACAGGAAGGAGCACATGGATGCCGCTAAGAGGGTGTTGCGCTACTTGTGCAGTACGTCGGGCATGGGGCTTGTGCTTGGAGGGCGAGACCGAGTTGTTCTCACAGGGCACTCAGACGCTTCTTGGGCAGACGACCAGGCTACTCAGCGGTCGTCTCAGGGTTACACCTTCAGCCTTGGCTCTGGCTCAGTTTCTTGGCGCTCTACACGCTCTTCTTCTGTTCTCGGCTCCAGTTGCGAGGCTGAGATCTACGCTACAGCCATGGCTGCCCAGGAGCTACGCTGGCTGACCTACTTGCTGACCGACCTCGGAGAGCGGCCTCGTTCTCCTCCAGTACTGTACGTCGACAACAAGGCTGCCATTGCCTTGTGTCATGAGCACAGACTGGAGCACAGAACGAAGCACATCGCCCTGCGGTACTTCCTTGCTCGTGAGCTGCAGCAGCGCGGTCAGCTTTGTATTCGCTACGTGGCCACTGAGGCCAACACTGCTGATGTGTTCACCAAGGCGCTTCAGCCTCGTGACCATCAGCGCTTCTGCACTCTACTAGGCCTTGTGCCTACTGGACCTCACTTGCTTACCTCTTGACTTTGCTTGTACTGTGATCACTATATATATCTATACCTGCATGTTTACTCTTGCTAGGTTGTGATCACTGTATCTCTTGCTCTGTTATAAACTTGCATGTGAACTGGTCTTGTGACCACTAGCTTGTGCTCGGAATTTGTGTGGAATCCTTGAGGTCCACCCTGAGCTTGTTGTTGCCTTGTTTTGCCTTGACTGGTCTTGTGACCCCTAGGACTCCCCCACTTTGCCTATGGGGGTGTGTCAAACATTATACATGTTGTATTTGTGTAGGCTGTAGTGGGTTAGCCTATAGGGGGGTCACAACATTAGAATTTCATATTTGTACTCACAATCCTTGCTAGTCCATCATTCCAGTCCGTTATTTCTGACAACTAGCGCCACTCCCGCCTAGCGTAGCTACTCGCCATTCTACGTCATCGTAGCTCCTTAAGGTCTTGTTCTTCCCTTTCGTCTCTCTTCCGTCCACTCGCCCGTGCAACTTATTTCTTCTTGGTTCCTATGCACACACATGCGCACACTCACCAGTATGTCGTTTTACAGCCTAGATGCACTTTAGCCACCTACGTCGTCAGTTAAGTAGATGTAAGTTGGCCGTTTTCTGTATAGATTCCTTCCCTTTCTTTATCACGTTCTGCCACTTCCTTTTTCCCTTGATCGTATTTCCCCCTCCCCTCTCGTTACCTTCTTATTTCCTAGTAGTATGTTTTTGTTCTACGTTTCTCCTCCGTTCCTACTTTCCGTGTTCTTTACGCGTCCTTAATCTCTGCGGCTTCTTCTCTTTCTTACGTTGGTTCATTTGTTCTCTTCTTTTTTGCACTTTTGCTTCGTTTTTCTCCTTTGCTCTTCACTTCAACAAACGACTTGAGTCATATTTCAATATTCTTTGCTCGCCGTTTGAAGTACCTAATCTGAAATAACTATAATTCTTTTCCGTAATTCTGATTGTGACTGCAACCGCATCACCAGCGCTTGTGCTTGTGTCATTTGGAACGATCAGACACGTGGAGTCGCTCTTGCCTGGTGAGTCATTCGTTGACCTATGTGCCTGCCTTGATGTTTCCATGTTTTCTTGCTTTGTTTCATCCTTACTTCCCACTTCCATTCTGTATTTGCTTATTTCTTTTACCCTCGTTAACAACGTGATTGATTTTTGTTCTACATTATTAAATTGAACAAAATACAACGAATTTCCAGAGGACGTGATATTGCGCATTTGAATGAATAAGAGGGACATGTTCGTAGGTACGGCAGTATGTGATCGTCAGTACATGCAAGCATGAGCTTGCATACGATGCGAGACTGCGTGAATAACTACGGTAAGCATGTAATTTCGCGATCTCTTAGTTTAAATTCGTTCATTCATGTCAGAATGTGATTCTTGTGTAGCCTGCAGTGGGGTACTCTATAGCGAGTACAGCCCAAATTAGGGTTTACTATATGTACTCAACTGCATGCTAATGAAAAGCCCTTTCCTGTTTCTCGTTTGCGCCTAATATTCTGACATGGTATCAGAGCAGGTCGACCCTCCATGGTCGATCCTGTGGGCCCACCGTTAGCTTCCGCTGCTATCCTGTCTATCTCGCGCCGTGAGCGCGAGATGTTTCCTGCTGTTTCCTGCCTGCCGCGCGCTCCGGGCGCGCGGCAATTTTTCTTCCCGTCGACCCGCGCGTCGCCCCCCGTCGCCCGTCGCGGAGCCCCCGGGGACATACGCGTCGCCCCCCGTCGCCCGACGCGGCCCGCGCGACATGCGCCAGGCCCGCGCGCGGCCCGTACGGGCTGCGCCAGGCCCGCGCGCGGCCCGGGCAGCCCGCGCGCGGCCCGTACGGGCTGCGCCAGGCCCGCGCGCGGCCCGTGAAGCCTGCCCCAGTGCCGCATGCCGTTCCCCGAGCTTCTGACCGCGCCCCACCCCCGCTGCTGCCCGCGTTCCTGTGTTAGGGTTTGGGGGTGGAGAGTATGGGGGTGCCGTGTGTGTGAGCTGTCCCCTGCTCCTCCTCTCTCTCCCACTGCTGCAGCTGCCGCTGAGGGGGGTGGATGTGTTGGAGCCGTCGGAGTGGTACGAGGGGGGTGGCGTGTGAGCAGTGCTAGAGGTACAGCAGGGGGTGTGTGAAAGGGGTGTGGGACAGTTGGGGGAGGTTGACCGGAGGTAGCCGACTTGTCGTCCGCAGCGCCTGAAGTCCAGGGAGCCACGACCCCCTGTGGCCTGAGTAGTCCGGGGCTCTGCGCCCGGTAGCCACAGTGTGAGCACTCCTGGTAGTCCAGAGAGCCACGACCCCCTGTGGCCTGAGTAGTCCGGGGCTCTGCGCCCGGTAGCTACAGTGTGAGCACTCCTGGGAGCACAGTGAGCCAGCTGCGTCTGTCGCCGTGTAGTCCGGGTTTAGCCTGGTAGCGACGGTACTGCGCACTCCTGCTGCCCGTGTGTCTGCAGCTTCAGCCGTCGCCTCCCATCTTCTCGCCCCCACAGTTTCTCCTCCTCCTCACTTGCCCTCTGTGATAGCCTCTAGCTTTGCTTATAATTGTGAACTACTGCTCTGCCTGCTTGTTGTGTTGATTGTACCCCACTTTGACTATGGGGGTGTGTCAGAATGTGATGTTTGTGTAGCCTGCAGTGGGGTACTCTATAGCGAGTACAGCCCGAATTAGGGTTTACTATATGTACTCAACTGCATGCTAATGAAAAGCCCTTTCCTGTTTCTCGTTTGCGCCCAGTATTCTAACAATTCATTCAGTCACGTCATAATGGTGTTACTTCTATTATTTTGAAAGAGATATATTACATAGAAGCAGTGAATCTGTTTGTACGTATGTGTGTCGTAGTAGTGACATAAATTGGATGTATCAAACCAGTTCAGCACGTGGATATGTATTGTGTCGTTGCTAGGATCCTTTGCGTTTTGTCGTACAATTATGCATCTTATTGTCTTGTTCCATATTCGTCTTCTTGTTTCTTTCTATTGCTGATTCTTCTCAAACAGACCTTGTTGTTTTCTTCAGGAAGTGAAGGTTAATCTGGACGGTGCAAGGATACCGATGGTTCCGTGTAGGGTTATATGTGGATTGCTGGCCTCTGGATAGGTTTGGAAGCACTCTTGGTCGAAAGGGCAGTTTGCCAAAGCTGGTCTTTCAGTAAGGGTGGGGCATCCACCTCAGTCTTGTTTATCAGTGTTGGCTGCAGTGTTACTCTTGCTCGTCAGTGTGCTGTGCACCTCGATTACTTGTACCATTATATGTTTACTTACCATCATGTATTGTTGTAACAAAGAACTACATCTACAAGCCTACAACTAGAACAATAACAGCAGCACGACTACATGGTGGAGCAGAATACCACACCAACTCAATACAGAAACTCCTGGCCCGGACGGCGCTTCTTGCTGGCATTGAACACGTCTACCACATTCACCCAGTTCAGACCATCGCTGGGCAGGAGAGCTGCAGTCATCAGATCGCCCAGTCGGGCGTCTCCCAGGCAGGTCCGCTTCCACGTCTTGATACGGTTCTGGCGACTGAAGCCGCGCTCGCACTCCACCGTGCTGAGGGGAAGCACAGCTACGGCCTGCCACAGCTGCACAAGGTTCGGGTAGGCTCCCCGCCAGTCAGTTGACTGGAGCATGAGCGCGAGCGACTTATGGAAGCTCATGTTGCCGTGGTTGGTGTCCATGGTGTGGAGAAACAACGGTAGCTCCCTCTCGCACGCCTTGAAGCACACACCTGCCAGGATGGGAGAGCAGAGCAGTGAGAGGGGCGATCAGGGCGTATGGGAGGTGTGGTGTTTAACATCACACCAAGGTAACCACACACACAGAGCAGACAGCAAATTGCAGGCACAACCAGGCGGCGTACCAAAGAGGCGGTGGCGAAACATGCGGTCAAGCATGCGCAACCACTCGCGGCACTTCTTCATCCGCTCCTCGTTGTCGTCGGGATAGCATGACGGCCGGAAAAGCTTGGAGCCGGCCAGGTCCTTGAGGTCTTCCAGGCGGAACTCCAGTCGGGCAACGCAGACCCTCGCAAACTCCTGGCACACCGCCTTGCAGGAGTAGTAGTCCCCGCCAGTCGTATGGCCTGGGATCTTGCGCTCGTGAAGCACGAACTTGTGCTCTGCAGCGTCTCCGTTCTGGTCCACACGGAGGGCTTCGGTTGTCGCCACCACGGCTTGCCACCGCCATTGCTTGACTCTTTGCGCTTCTTGTTCGCAGAGTCGCCAGCCGCATCGTCAATCTCTGTTTCTGGAGCCGTCGCTTCTGGAGGTTCAGGTTCCATCGTGGTAGTGCAAACTTCGGGTGACCGCAAGTCTCGCCCCGCTTCATCCACGTGGGCTTCATCCTCTGTTGAAGCAACTACGGGCTCCGGATCTAACAGCTTGTTAGCGGGGATTTGTAGAAAGCTGAGGCCCGTACGCGGGAGTGATTTTTGCTGGTGACGACGTGCCTCGTCGTCACCATCGGTGGTTTCGTCAGCAGCCATGGCGAGGGCAAGAGGGATGGATGCAGGAGCTGGGCCTACACTAGCTGTGTGAGAGCGTGGTGGTGGGGTGGTTTGCAAACCCTCGACCGGACGAGATAGCGAGGAGGCAGTACAGGAGAAGTGAAACGAGGAGAGACTGGGTTGGGTGCATGGGAGAGACTGGTCGGTGGGTGGGGGCCTGCTGGGGAGGGAAGAAGATGCTTCCAAGCAGGACACACATCCTGCACGAAGCAGGTGTGTGTGGCGCTGCGCGGCATTGCCAGGTGGGGAAATTGCAGGTGAGCCAGGTTCAGTTGACGGGTCAGTGGCAGTGGCGCCGCGCACATCTGCTGACTCAGGCAAAACGCCGCTAATCACGGCCCAAATCGCGTCAGTACCCCCCCCCCCCCCCCCCCCCCCCCCACCCCCGTCAAATCGCGTCAGGGTGGTACACGACACTAGTCTTGGTCATCAGGGCGAGTACACCAGGCCTGTCTTAAATATCAGTGTTAACACAATGAGCACTTTTTCTGCTAAGGGTGTGTCATAAAACAACT